AACAACGCCTCGATGATTGCAGGCTGGAGTAGATGATTTTATGTTTTCGTATCACCAAGTATCCTGCTAATGTTAAATAATTTATATAAGATACCGTATTTATGATTAATTCTTATCTCAAATAGGCTATTAAGTGCTGTGGCTTTGCTTGCTCTTGTGGATCAAATATTATATACAAGGCAGTACGTGACAAAATGTATGTAAATAAAAAAAAAACATACAGCATTTTGGTATTTTCATGTTAGATGAAATATTCGTTACGCTTTTAAATTACACGATTTACTTGTTTCATTTATGAATTCAACTGGCACAATATTTGTACAAAAACAAAAACCTATTCCACCTAGTTAAACCGGCTTATTGCGTAAACGAACAGTATTAGTACAGGACAGTTATGCAAAAAAAAACCCTAGTTTATTATTTTAGTAGGATTTATGCAGACATTTAAACGATTAGTAAAAACAAAGTAACGGCAAATATATGCCAAATTCTAAGTAATAAGGTAAAATGTCACTATCAATAAGTCTTTTAAAAACCATTGTTGATAATTAATTGTTTTATACAGATCAAAAAGCAATAAACTTAGCATTTATCGAATTAAGAAGTATATTGATTGGAGTGAAATATTTTAGCTCCTAATAAAATGCATTGTTTTATAAAATTGGCCATCTTCAAACGTATTCCACATATTTGACGGCGAATTTTGCAGTGGGCAGTGGTTAGTGGATTGACTTTTGTAGATCGGCAGCGGTGCAGAGCCGTGGCCGTGGCGGCACTACGTGCTGCGCACACTGGTGCATTCAAACTCTTATTATTGGCGTATATTGTTGTCATATGTATATTGTTTGAAATTTAAAGTAAATAGTTTTACTAAATGGGTAATATATACCTATTTTGAGTAATAACCCCGTAAAAAAAGGATAAACGTGACAAATTTTAAATGACAAAAATGATATTTAATCTACAATTAATTATTATATACAGGGTGTTTTTTTTAAAACTTGCATCTTTATTTATGTAAAAACCGCAATAGATAGAAATATGCAGTCTGCGGGAATCATCTATTGACGTAGGGGGCCCAATTGTTTTGAATTCAACGTTACATTCACATTCCCCCCCTTTCCCCCCCTGCCCCCAACTTATTTTTTTTAAATAGCAAGTTACCGCTTGTGACATATCAAATGAAAGAGCATAAAAAAAGAAAATGTTTGATGAAAAAAAATAAAAAATCGGTTCATACATTTGCGAGATATTTCCCCCCCCCCATTCCCCGGAATTTGATTTTTTTTATAGTAAAGTACCCCTTGTGACATATCAAATGAAAGAGCATGAAAAAAGACATTTTTTTGTGAAAAAAAAATTAAAATCGGCTCATGAATTTGTGAGATAATCCCCCCCCTTTTCCCCTACCCATCAGTTGTTTTTTAATAGCAAGGTACCCGCCCTTGTGACATATCAAATGAAAAATAAATTTCGCCAAACAATTTTTTCTTTCATGCTCTTTCATTTGATATGTCACAAGGGGTACTTTGCTATTAAAAAAAATCAAATTCCGGGGAATGGGGGGGGGAAATATCTTGCAAATTTATGAACCGATTTTTTATTTTTTTTCATCAAACATTTTCTTTTTTCATGCTCTTTCATTTGATATGTCACTATCGGTAACTTGCTATTTAAAAAAAATAAGTTGGGGGCAGGGGGGGAAGGGAGGGAATGTGAATGTAACGTTGAATTCAAAACAATTGGGCCCTCTACGTCAATAGATGATTCCCGCAAACTGCATATTTCTATCTATTGCGGTTTTTACATAAATAAAGATGCAAGTTTTTAAAAAAACACCCTGTATTTATACTATGAAATACTAATAAATATGACATTTTAATGAAGTAAGCTTTCTTTAGTGTAGCAGCTTCATACGATTATTACAAGTAGAATAAATTTTAAGTTATACCATTTTCCGTAAAACCTTGCAAGTTTGATTTGTTTTGCCACCATTTTCCAAGATGGCGGATTTTGCTGAAGTGGGAATTTTTGGGAGTTCTCTGGAAATGTTAAGGGGTGTGTCCCAATCACATTCCAGAAGAGTTTGTCTTTGAAATAATTTGTTCTAGGTTAATATGCACTATATGTTAGTTCTGCACTATAAGTGATTTCTGCATAACACTACACAATTAATGACATTTCTGAGATTATGTCGGCTATAATAATAACTACACACAGTCTACCACGTCCAAAACTAATTCCAAAACTAAAGACTTACTACTTTAAGGCAGAGTAATAAATATACATTAAAAATTTACTGCTCTAATATCAAAACAATTAATTAGCCAAAACTCAGACAAATCAATCCAAACCAGAGAGCACAGAATATAAATGTGCTCTCTTCTGTGCTTTCTATTCGTGCTTTCTATTCTGTGCTCTCTGATCCAAACCTTGGACATCAATGTCAATTGTTGTTACTTTTCTTACTTTTAAATCAAATCGAATCAAAACATTCTTTATTAATTGCAGTTTCACCAAGAAATTACAATTGTATCATACAATCATCTTGTGAACAATAAGGCTTTTTTTTAAGATTTAACCCCACATATTATATACCAAAATGTTCGTCTAGGTGTGTAAATGTGCAAACTGGTTTTAGATTTTCGAAATATGTCTTTTTAAGGGCGTGGGCTGCCCTCGAAGTTCCTTCCATAAGGATAACATTGTGATTGGCTTGAATGTTATTATATTCTGAAACAGATGTCAATACATTAGTTTAAACAAAAATTAAATCCCAGCTGTTTTGAAATGTAAACAGTTTGCTTGTTTTGAAAAATAATTAGAAACCCAGCAAAGAAATGTTACCTATAGGACACGACGGGAGAAAAGTTTTACATTATATTTTCGTTGAAACATGTCAAGGACCCGACGACAAAGAAATATTGCCGGTCGGACACGGTGAGTCAACATAGGGCAAGCAATGCAAAACGTAAGGAGCCCAGACGAGGAGCTGGAAAAGTTAGTGGCAACTTGTACTTACAAAAGTACACTGACAAATACAAGAATTCAGCAGCATTCACTTGGCGAGATGGCATTAAAATGTCAGAAATGTGGTGCGCTACATTTTAAAGGAGAACGAAGAGGACGAGGTTAAGGATTTTATTCTGCTGCCATAAAGGAAAAGTAAATCTACCACTAACCAAGAAATATATTATATCCAGAGCCTACTTAATGGAGCAAATCATTTGAGTAGAAACTACATAAAGAGATCATTAGATCGTACAACTCTGCGCTCGCAATGGTCAGCACTCGAGCTAAAATTGAATAACATAACGGTGGAGGGCCTTTCATGTATAAGGTGCACAATGTATCACTCATTTGGTACCTTTCAACCGTCAGAAAGGGAGCATCCCACGTATTCCCAAATTTATATCCAAGGACGTCAAAACCACTGTTCAAGGAAGAATGCTAAACAAAGCTAATGGTTCTTGCAGCACTAAACTCATGCACTCAACATTTGGTTGATTTTAATCCATACGCGCAAGCTTTTAATCATGATTAGTTCCGTCCTGCAAAATACTTCTACTGAGCAGCAAAAGAACTTAGAATGCGTATAGTCAACGATTGGAGCTGAATACCAACGTCAATACAACGACGTAACTTCTATCGACGTTGCTATAATATCCTAATTTATTATTCGTGCGAATTCGCACGGATTCACCTAGTATAACTTAATACTATTATATGGATTTTTATGGCTTAGTATATGGATGGGCAGTGAAATTGCAAAAACAGTGTTTAATAGGAGGCTATGAACATAATTGTTATTTTAATGCAAGTGTTAAACAAAATGCTATGTAATTCCGTGCAAGATACCAAAGTAGATCGGGATCAAGGAATTCCTTCAAGGATTAAGCAGGTCTGTCTATCAGCCACTTGTGGAGCTGTGTTTTTAGCTGCTTTCCCTTCAGTGACTTCAGTGATGTTGGTAGGAGTTGTGCTATTGTGGAGTTGGCGGCCGGTGTAGGATGGTTCTCTGGCATAATTGGTGGTATGATGTACTGGCAGAATGCAGTCGTGTCCTCGCCTCGTGGTAAGTGTGAATATTTGTACTTTTTGGCAGATCAGACTTACACACCAAAATGTTTACTGCTTTGATTTACAACAGTGAGAATACCAAGCGATCTGAGAGCTTCCCTGCAGCCGCCTAGGGTTGGATGAGGTTGGCGAGTTTACGCATGGCTTTTTTCTGCAGCTTCAATTTCTGTAAAGAGTCCTTGTAGCCTAGATGTTCTAACACATAAATCAATTAAAGAACTACAAAGAAAATGTCTAATCTCACAGTATACTAGATATTTAAATTACAATCACTCTGGTGCTTGAAAAATGTTTTTCGACAGTAAATAACTCTTCAGCAGCTATTTTAAATTAAAGATATTAACCCCTTATGGTGGACAAATCCAAGATGGGCGTTAGCTTCCATGGACTCCCTTGGAGAACAATTCAAAACTACAAAAAGATTTCTAATCTCACATTATACTAGATATTTAAATTATAATCACTTTTGTGTCGGAAAACTATTTTTGGACGATAAATAACTCTTCAGCAGCTGTTTGAAACTATCCAAGATGGCCGCTAGCCTCCCGGGACTCTTAAGGATGCTTTCAGTAGTCTGCCCCATACATCAAGACCATATTTTATATGTGACCCCATTAAATCACAGTATGCTGTTTTTTCTGATAATATATCACCAATCCATAATTAATTCTTCTCACCACGTATACACCAGTGCTGAGATTCTTACAAAGACCATCGATGTGATTGTTCCAGGTAAGGTTCTATTGTGAACTTTTGTACAGTTTTCACATCTATTAGGTTAGCTACTTACAGAGGTTACTGATATGTTTACAGCTAAACTGTGTACACCATTGATATTTTACGGTTGTTGTCAAACACCTGATATGATTGATAGCATCATGAATATAATTACACTAATCAATTCATTGCAATCACCAACTTCTGCAGATACTACATAGCAAGTGTGGATCGTGCAGTTTGTGTAACATGAAACTAGTGTTTTTAAATTTGGTTTTGATCTCTTTGGTGAGTATACCTAGATAATATTCTCTGTGAATCGATTGTTCAGGGTTGTACTAGTGATGCACTTATGTGTTTACTGTTAAATGCACTTATGGTTCAAGTATATTTAAGTAAGTAAGTATTACATAGTTTAAACTTGCTTTAAAGTCAAGTGAATAGTAATAAGCAGAATAAAACTATAATATTTATAAGGCATTTTTTAAGTTCTTTGTTTTTCGGAAATTTTCCTTATGATTCTCATTCTTGTTTTAGACTATTATTTGTTTGCCTTGAGGAAATTTTTAGATGTTTTGATTACTCGTAGGATGTTTATTCTAGAAGCTATTTGGTTGTTTTTCCGCCAAACGTACCCAAGATATCATACATTTAACACATTGGAAAACACTAAAAACATGATTGTTAAAATGCATCCTAAAAGATTCAAGAGTGTAATCAACTTGCACTTTTCTTTGTTCCGCAATGTTTATATTTTCATTCAGTGAAGATAATGGTCCAATAAAATAAGTAATGCATCTCCTTTTGTCTTATTAACAATTTAATATTATTAATTTTTTTCTTCTTGAATAATTTAAGGGCTTGATACATACTGTAGTCTCAGCCTACTTCCCGAGGCTGCCACTTTAGTTCGAGCGGAGCCAGAATCCTGTCAGTAAGTTTTATCTTAGTATTGGCTGAATACTTGTTCAGCATGATTTAGTTTAGTGGACTGTATTTATTTTAATAAAAGCTTTATTTTCAGATCGGTCCAATTGTGAGTTCTCTACCTACACAAGGTCCTAGCTCACACTCCGGAGGTATTAATTGTGAGCAGCTAAACATATTTTGTCACAAATATACAGGACCAATATATAGGGGAGCGAGCTGGTATAGTGGTTAGAGCGCGGGACTTCGGTCCCTGAGGTCCCGGGTTTTAAATCCTGCCAAATCAACAATGGATTTTATCTAAGTGATAGTGCCGTAACCTCTAGGTCTAACCTAAAGTAATGTGCAAACAATCCCGGGCTTGAAGTTTGAAGTTAATTTAATTTTAAATCTAAAGTTCATATACTGTGTAATTTTCGATAGGCATAAATTTACAAAGTTGTAAATTTGTATTCGTACTTTCCTTCTTTCTCACGAGTTTCATAAACTTAACTAAACTAACCTATCTCTAAATATATCGCAGGTTTTCTTTAAAACTGTACCCCTACGAATGTTTAAGGCACTTAAGGGTTATAAGAACCACAGAAACATTGTGAAGTTTGTTTTAATAGGCCTACTTAATGTTACTTTAAAATGGATACTTAAAATTTTTTTATATATCTTCTATAGTATTAATTAAGTCGAGCACTTAATGTATTCTCATTAAAAAATAGCCCCATACAGTGGAATTTCTTTTATTGGTGAATTTTTCACTCAAGGAAGTAAAATTGTGTTACAGCCGTATTACCTGAAGAGCCATCATCTGCGACAGCCCAAGATGACAAAAAGGACAAACCAAGTAAGTGCCAAATTATAAAAATAGATAAACATAGAATAATGTTTCAAATGTATTCTCATTAGGCCTACAAGTTGATAATACATACTATTCATTCCTCTTTCATGTGTAATACCATCGGACCGAGCATTGCTAGTTGGCGTTTCATTTGTTTAGGAGGTTATCAATACAAAGCATATTAATAATTTCCAAAAGATTTTGATTGTCCTTAAGACAATTACTGTATATTAAAAAATACTGACTAACATATGTAATTAAACGAATTTTATGAAAACAATTGATAGTACCTTTGATACTCAATTGGTGTTATGAAAATACTTGAGTATTACATACTCAAGTATTTGAGCTATTTATACTACATTTCATGCATTATTTTCTAATTTTCAGTAATTAAAACCGTTTCAAATATGTTTATCAAGTAGAAAACTTTTATCACATAACTTTTACAGTCAACAAAAATACCAAAATAAAAATATTACAATTTGTAAACAGCGTAACAATAGAAGTGGATTGTGAAATGACTGTCCAAAATTTTAAGTAGGTAGGAGGTACAATTTCCTGCCTTTAGTAGGATAAAGGATTTTTACAGTTTTTTTTTTTTTTTTTTTTTTTTTTTGAAGTAGCTATTACCGTGATGGCAGAGTAAGCAATAGACCCGGGACCGATATACTTTTTATTTTGGTGTTCCTAGAGGATTAAAACACAATTCTCTCAAACGATTATACATGTATGGGTACATGAATATAAAAGGTGTCCAAAAAGTCCCGGGTCGGCTAAATATTTTCGAAATATTTAAAATAGAGCTTCAAAACTTTGCACAAAGTTACTGGACATAAAAATCTATTTGATCACTTATTCTTACTTACTTGAATACTTGGAATAGATTGCGTCACATATAATAAATACTACTATTTACATAAAACCTAACTAAGATGGTGGCGGGTTGCCAAAAAGTGGTGTGTCGTCCAGCTCACTTAGTGAGTTTAGAGGTCTACCCACCAGATAGTCTCTCAGGGTGTCCTTGAAGGCCCTAATGTCCAGCTCGCGCACTTCAATTGGGAGTGTGTTATAGAACTTACTTGTGTAGTAGGGGTAGCCCTTTTGAGTCCAGGCTAGTCGGCTTCTAGGTACCTTGACCTACCTAGATGGCCATGTCGTGTTTGATAGGAATGCTGGTTCTCGCGTCGAGCAAGTTTTGCCAAATTTTCTTTAAGTAGCACCGTACTATTTAATACGTACTGGCTGTAGATGGTCAGAACCTTTAGGTCTTTGAAGATATGCCTACAGTGGTCACGATGCCCGGCGGACGTAATCACCCGCAAAGCCATCTTCTGAAGAAGCAAGATGGCTGCAGCAAGATGCTGCAGCTGTATGGCCCCATAGTGCGATGCCACAGCTTACATGGCTTTGAAAGAAGGGTATGGTACACGGTGACTAAGTACGGTTTAGTGTTGACCAACACAAGTTTCCTTATATTAGGAGATAGCCCACTCTGGAAAGCTTGACACGTACCTGGCTAATGTGGTGTTTCCAACCTAACCTGGAGTCGACCCAGAAGCCAACGAGTTTAACAGCTTCCTCACCTAGATGGTTTGGTTTAAGTGTGCACAGCAGTGATTGAGTCTTCTCGTCATACATAAACTCTCAAAAAAGTTATAAGTAGTTATCGTTAAGACCAATTGGTGGGGAATTGCGGAGCACAGTTTTTAGTTGTTTGGTTAGTTTGGAGTAGGCTAGTATATCGAACGACATAGTAATTTGCAAAGAAGTTGCATTAAAATCATGTTTAATGATATGTTTGAATTTTAGAACAATGGCTACCAAACCCTACTCCTGGAAGCTTAGGATTAGGTTTATCGGAACCTTACAAAAGAGAATTTGAAGAGCTTGAAAACTATTTGAAAAAAACTGAAGGATTGTCAGCTGTTATTTCAGCGTTACCTTCATTGGAGCAATTCCTTGCCTCTGTTGACCCGAATAGAAACAAAATTCCATCCCCGGGTAAGTACATAAACTATATTTTTATACTTGTTCAGCATGGTTTAGTTTAGTGAACTGTTTTTATTTTAATAAAAGCTTGATTTTCAGATCGGCCCAATTGTGAGTCCCCTACCTACACAAGGCCCTAGCTCCCACTTCGGAGGTATTAATTGTGAGCAGCTAAATATATTTTGTCAAAAATATACAGGACCAATATATAGGGGAGCGAACTGGTCTAGTGGTTAGAGACTTTTAAATCCTGCCAAATCAACCATGGATTTTATCTAAGCGATAGTGCCGCAACTCCTAGGTCTAGCCTAAAGTAATGTGCAAAACAATACCGGGCTTGAAGTTTTTAAGTTAATTTAATTTGAAAACTAAAGTTCATATACTGTGTAATTTTCTATAGGCATAAATTTACAATGTCGTCATTTGTATTCGTACTTTCCTTCTTTCTCACGAGTTTTATAAACTTAACTAAACTAACCTATCTCTAAATATATCGCAGGTTTTCTTTAAAACTGTACCCCTACGAATGTTTAAGGCACTTAAGGGTTATAAGAACCACCGAAACATCGTGAAAGTTTTTTTTAATAGGCCTACTTAATGTTACTTTAAAATGGATTATTTAAAATTGTTTATATATTTTCTATAGTATTTATATTAAGTCGAGCACTTAATGTATTCTTATTAATAAATAGCCCCATGCAGTGGAATTTCTTTTATTAGTAAATGTTTCACTCAAGGAAGTAAAATTGTGTTACAGCCGTATTACCTGAAGAGCCATCATCTGCGACAGCCCAAGATGATAAAAAGGACAAACCAAGTAAGTGCCAAATTATAAAAATAGACTCGCCTTTGGCTCGCTGGGGGCTCCGCCCCCAGGCCCCCTAGCTGTTAGTCGTCATTAGTATACAGCTAATCCAGCTAGCTATTAGTCGTCATTAGTAGATTAGAGTTAAGTTGTAACAAAGCAAGAAGTGAAACCGTCAATATTAAGTTATATAAGTTAACTTCGAGCTCGACCTTAAGGAACACCTCATAAAAAAATCATTTTTAAAGTTGCGGTAAGAGAGTATGTTAGTTAAGTATTTAAACAACTGAGTTGTTAGTCGAGCGAAGTACAAATATAAGGAGAGTAGGGTTCGTTATAGTGAAAATCGACATTAAAGTAATAACGATTTCATGAATATATCAGAGGAGATTGATAAGTTTATAAGTTGATAATAGTAAAGTATTATATGAAGTAAATAGATTGTAGTAGATCGGAGGCCAGGAAAAGTCGGAACCCTATTTGCAATTATTTAAAAATGTACAGTAAACTTTTGTATAAGATAAGTAGATTGATAAGTTAATAAGTTGATAATAGTAAAGTGTTATATGAAGTAAATAGACTGTAGTAGATATTCATGTATATATTTATGAAAATAGATTAAGTAATGTTTGTTTCCCTGTCGGTTAGCCATAAACTTTATGGCATATCCAGTTCCGCCACGAGGAGGCCAGGAAACGTCGGAACCATATTTGCAATTATTTAAAAAATATACAAGTTAGTAAACTTTTGAATAAGATAAGTAGATTGATAAGTTAACAAGTTGATAATAGTAAAGTATTATATGAAGTAAATATATTATAGCAGATATTCATGTATATATTTATTAAAATAGATGAAGTAGTGTTTGTTTCCCTGTCGGTTAGCCATAAACTTTATGGCATATCCAGTTCCGCCACGAGGAGGCCAGGAAACGTCGGAACCATATTTACAATCATTCACAAATGTACAAGTTAGTAAACTTTACTAACTACTTAAAGGAAATATATACAAAAACTAAACTAACTACTAAAAAAAGAAAAAAATATATACAACAACGGGGACTTTTGATAAGATAAGGCCCCTATCGTACTGTCAAACTAGAATACTAAACACACAAAAAAACGACTTATTTCTAAAAAAAATAACTAAAAGGAAATATGTACAACAACGGGGACTTTTGGTAAGGCAGGCCCCCTATGTACAACTGCCGGTGTTGTCAAGTCACGACGGGGAGTTTTGATGAAGCAGATCCCCTAGCCTACTGCTGGTGTCAAGTCCGGTTTAGAGAAGGAGATCGCCATACACGATGTTCTTTGCGTATGCGATTCCATCTCGGACACGTTCGGGATGGACGAGAACGACAATATGGTCGGGATGTCTGACCCTACTGAGCAAGACGTACTGCCCGTGCGTGAAGCAATCGGTCCGTAAATCAACACCGACTGAATCTATTGTCTGACCTTGGCTTTTGTGTCCGGTCATGCAATAGGCCAACATCCGTGGGAACTGACGTCGACGAACACGTAACGGCGAACCCTCGACAAACGCGAACGTAAACGTAATTCGGGTAATTCCGATAGGTTGCGTCTGTCCGGGAAGTCTCACTGTAATCAGCCGGTTGGTGATGCCGATTACGATGACTTTAGTGCCGTTGACGAGTCCTTCAGCGATGTTGAGATTCCTCATAATAAGGCAAACAGAGCCGATCTTCAGCCGCAGAACATGGTCTGGTACGCCCTTGCCAGTAGCCGTGTTCAGGAGTTGTACGTCGACATCCAGGCCATCGTCGTTTTCTCTGTCCACTGTGTCGGCGCTCCTCAGCTCGTACAGATGACCGTCAAGGGAGTTCAAGATGTGGTCGTTGATCTCCTTGACGTTCACTATCAGAGTCGAGAGGATTGCGCGTCGCGAACACAGATCAGAGTCTGTTTGTTTTATTAGTAAATGTTTCACTCAAGAAAGTAAAATTGTGTTACAGCCGTATTACCTGAAGAGCCATCATCTGCAACAGCCCAAGATGATAAAAAGGACAAACCAAGTAAGTGCCAAATTATAAAAATATATAAACATAGAATAATGTTTCAAATGTATTCTCATGAGACCTACAAGTTGATAATATATACTATTCATTCATCTTTAATGTGTAGTATCATCGGACCGAGAATTGCTAGTTGGCGTTTCATTTGTTTAGGAGGTTATCAATACAAAGCATAGGTGACCAAGCAATATTTGTTAACAAGGTGATGTTTTGTTTGTAGCTCTTCAAACAATATATTATACATAACAAAGTGTCTTATTAACAGCAGGGTTATTTTCATTGAGGAAAGATAGTGAGTGTTCGAGATCGTGCTGAATATGACCTAAAATATGAATAAGCATAAATTAGTTAAATTTTGATACACTATTCTAGCTCTAGAGTGTTTTATGACTTTAAAAACAAAAATATGAAAATTCGTGATAATAATGTCCTACCTTGGAGAAAGAATATTTAACATAGTTCTAGATTAAATAGTACCAAGATTCGTGTACGTCTAAGAAAAAAATATCGAATCTGATTCTATAACTACTATCACATATTGTATTTGCACCCGGTTAAAGCCGAGTTTCGGTGCTGGTACAACATTAATTTATGTTTATAGCCAAATCAGATGAAGAACTACTGGCGGAAACTCGGTCAAAGCTTGCTAGATCATGCTGGAACACAATTGGAATCCGGTCGTGTCTGCACCGGATAAAAGCTTGGTGGAAAAAGATGAAAAACTAGTTCAGAAAAAAAGACCGGCTATCCTTTAGAAAATTACTCACAATAAAGAATATACAGTTATGTTACAATTGTTCATTATGTCATTCCTTACTTCAACAATTCGTGAGTGTTGTCCTTTTTAGAGTGATGTTTTTTTTTTACTGCTGACTGTTCATGGATTCATGTTTTCTATCATAACTAGATGATATTTTATGTACTTGTAAGTGTATACATGCAGGTGTGGGTTACTATATTACTTATTGTTTGAAATCGTCGTAGAATAATACCCCAATAACAAAAAAAAAAAATATTAACAGATTCCACAATTGGGTTGTTTCACAATTCTAATGTGAGGCGTAGACATATTTTTGGTAAAAATTATTTCTAAGAAGATACAAAGGTTTAACTAGATCGGACCTAATAAAACCACAATTAATAATTGATGTATCGCTCATCATGAGGAATACCATTTTTGATATTGAGTAAAATGCTCAATTCATAATACGAGGATTGACAGTTATATCCTAGGAACTGCATGTTAGAAAAGAATATTTTACCAAACGTTTTAAATTCCTGGTACCTATATGGCACATGAGAATGATTGTATATAGCGTGTATATCGTTATCTCTAACACAACACAAACATCTCAGCGATGACAAACGTTATCGAAATAGGATCAGCTGTAGTGACGAGACAGTGAGAGAGAAATCATCAGAATTGTGGAAGGTTTTGGGACACGTGGAAGATTCTGTTTACTGATACGGGCTATGATAATAAAGCGGCCTACACACTACACGTGCATTGCACGCCGTGCAAGCACGTCGTGCCAAAAACTGACGAAACGTGCAAGTGTGTGGTGAACACCGTGCAAGCACGGCGTGCATTGGCATGGCACGGTGGAAATCAAGACGAGTTTGATTTTTGGCGTGCCGTGCCAAAGCACGCCGTTCTGACGTGCTAGTGTGTAGGCGGTCCCCGTGCCACGTGCTGGTAGTTCAACCACTTTTGACAGAGTTTGACCCTATAATAGTACTTTCTTATTAGTGAATCAACGGTATTTTGTATTGGCCATTTGCAACACAGATTAAATACGCATATAGTGGCGTCCCCCCCTTAAATAATTGATAATTGATCATTGATAATTGGCACGACCATCGAGATTACAATGGATCGCGCGCTGTATGTGATGCGTGACCCGAGACGCAGTCATAGATCTCTATATAATATATCATAGAGCATACATCCTCCACAGTATTGTGAACCAAGTGCCCTGCCGGCATATATCTGTACGGCAGCGAGGTGCAAGGTCTGGACTAACCTAGGCACTAAGGTGGCTTAGTGCTGCTGCCTTGTGTCTATTTTTAATGATTAATCAATTAATCATGTCCAATATTCTTAAAACATGTGTGTGTTCTGCATTTCATTTGGACGAACAGTCGATGTAATTTAGCACGTTGCAGGCTACACTGAAGATCAAGTGTGTGGGCAAAATGTGCCGTGCAAAGCACGTCGTGCCAATATAAAAAATGGCACGGCGTGCAATGCACGTGTAGTGTGTAGGCCGCTTTAGGCTTATTGTGGACAAGTCGTACACCATACAGCATAACTTTATTAGATAAGTCAATCGTTAAAGGAAGCAGGATATTTTTAATTATAATTAAAAAGGCATAATTACAGTACTCCTGCTCCAGGCACAACTACCTGTGTATTATCGCTGTTTTGTTTTGGGAAGATTCCAAAAGAAGCAATGCCAAGTTTGTCATACCAGCCTAATTGGGTTAGTGCCTATCCGCCTTTTAAGCTACATAAATTACGAGTTCTAATTGACCACCAAATTTTAGATTAATGAACTAACTAATTTTCTAAACTATCCTAAAATGTTTGGATCGTCCTTTAAATAGTAAGTGATGCATTAATTTTAGTAACCTCTATGACAATGTGTTGTATGGTTGTATTTAAGATTACACCTTTAACTAACATTGACAAAAGTTAAAAATATTAATAACGTCCACGTCACAATTACGCTATTAATTTGGTTAATATACAGGGTGTCTTGCAGCATCTTGACCCATCTTCTAAATATATACAGGGTGTCTTGCAACCATATGAACAAACTTTGTCCCGTTATTTAGCATGCCAAATAAACAAAAACTGTAGTATAACATGTGTCCTATCCCATTTCGTTTTTGGTCTATCTGTCTTATATGACTTTTACAAAAGCATTCATAACTCCTTAACTGTTTTAGCTAGAGCAGTGAAATTCTGAGAAAATTTGAGAAAATTGAAGCGATAACAAGAAAAAATCTATTATTTCTCAGATATTCTTTGCCCAAACTAAGCTTATAAGATATCGATGTAATCTGCATTAAAGTTGCCAACTTTTACAAGACCTGCAAATATTTTTTTAAATGAACAGTGTGTTCATGGAATTTAACATAAACTATTTTTTTAATCCACAGTTTTTAAACGGTTTAAGATTTTTTAAATATATTGCACAAGAATAGTGGTTAGTAAGATATACAGGATGGTCGTAAATTATTGGACACATTTTAAGATTATATAAACAAATAACCAAGCAACATAGAAACATGGGAATCATTTCATTGAATAGCAAATTTAAAACAGTTTTATACAGTTACTGAAAAACAATAATTATATAAATGTCAGCATGGATAGTAGGGCATAGTAAGCATGGCAAAACCAACAATGGACCTTTCCACCCCTGCTCTGTATAACTTTTATTTAATTTTCTAATAGTGCATTGGATGTATTATTGAGATGTGAAGGATGTCGCGATATTTGGATAATGTTGGTCACGTTAGAGGGTGCCAAGGTCTACTACTGAAAATATCTCTATTTTAGGGAAAGATTGTTTGATTTGTACTTTATTCTCTCACTATAATTCCAAAGAACAAGCAAGCAATACACTAAAATAAAAATAATTTTAAATAGTTCTACAGACGGTTAGTCACTGGAACAGGGAATACAGCAGAAACCCCTGTTTATGTAGTTCTTAAAAAACATAGAACAGCTCTTCCCTTACTAAGTACCATTTCCATGAGACCTACGGATATAGCTTGTTCGTTAAATGTGAAATTTGTTCAAATAAATACACTCCTTGTTAGGTTTTGGTAAATCCAAACCAAGTCTGGCTATTCCAAGCAATTATTTTTATAAACAGTTGAGGCTTTGATACACAATACCTCCTGAGAAACACAAACAAACATATCAAGTTCAGGAATGTTCTTTTTCTTTGTTTATCTCTGTTCTATTTCTGTGTAATGGTTTACTTCTACTTAAACGTGACTTAAGCAAGGATTAGACGATTTTGCTTATGTTTATTAGTAATACTCTTATAAAACAGGTAAAACGATAGGGCCAACTCTTAATAAAACTGATTTCTTCATCCGTGCCCCACAAAAAGAGAAGAACACTAAAGATAGTTCTATAATTATTTTATATCTACGTTATATGAAATTTACAATTCCACTATTTTTTTCAGTGAAAAACAAACCGTCTCTTTCATTTATAAATCTTTGTTATTTTAATCGGGAGAGGGTGAGAGCCCTTAGGCTAAACTGGACGATTTGTAAGATTCGTTTATGTATGCTTAAGAATACTTAAAACTACATGGTTTGTTTTCTATCATTCAACTGCTAAAAAGGTTAACATTCACAAAGAAACCTTATAAGTTTAATGGGTACCAAACATCTCATGAAACACAATAGTGTTGTAAAAAAAAATATTATGGCCTACAAACTAGCAGCAAAAACCGGCATTGCCGGGTCAAAATAAAATTCACAATAATATATGTTTTTTGATTGATTAATACAGCATCTTGAACATAATTGATTCAAACAATCAATATCTCAAAATACTGCGCATTTATTTCTAGGAGTATTTTAAGATCAAGACATATCAAATAACTAAAATGAAAATGGAGTTACGTATCATTGATTGTAGATAAATCTAAATATACTGTGATTATAATTATTATTGTTGATTCGTTATACAGCAGCGTTTTTCAGGTACCTCTGATCTATTAATCAATAGTTCAAATGAAAGATGGGTTTTCACTGAAGGTTCGTAGACCAAAACGTATAGTATAATGTAATTTTAACTGGTGAAATACATATTTATAAAGTAACTAGCTGTGCGTCTTGGAGTTTTTGAAACACATACACGAACTGTACACTTATACACATGACGAATGAAACATAAATACGCGGTAGGCCTACTTTTATTTTTACTATGGACATGTAGACGCGCGTCGGTCGTGTGCCGAGTCTCGACTGAAAACGCTCATTTAAAAAATGAATGTTTCCCAGCCATATACAACACTGATTCAAGGTCTTTTCCCCAGTTATCAAAACTCAAGAACAATTTTATACACAAAGAATCTATATTTTCATTTACGGTTACCCTACAAATTATTGCACTTGCGATTAATTAAATCCGTTATGTAAGGAAAAACGTTTATAATATTACTTGGTTTGGTTTGCTTTCAAAACGTGATCGGAATTGGTAACGGTATTTGTAAACAACATTCAATGTAAACATATCAGTGACAGCTAGAAGAAATAATCTTGATTCGAACAGCTGTTCGTTATTTCATGGATGAATATGTGATGAACATTGGGAGAAAACTTTACAAAAAATCGCACAAAATTGGGTTTTTAAACGTCCGTCATTTTATTTGCAAAGTAGTGACGCCATATTTTAATGGCTAAAGACAATTTCGCCAATCCAGTGAATACATTAAAATGATTTGGAACTTGATAGGTACTCTCGTTTTTCAGGAGAAGGCCACGTAAAATGGCTCTTGGGCCGTGACAGACAGGAAGACCGACAGACAGAAATTTAGATGAGACTTGTTTCGGTTTCTTTAATGTATAAAACGTAAAAATAACCTAAAATTTTATGATTCTGAGAAATGTACAGACAAAACTCTAATTTTATTTAGGCCTATATAGAAGAATTCAGAAAAACCCAATTTATGTTTTTTGTTAAGTAATACAGT